TGGCTTGAAAGATTATATTCGCATAACAAATAAGAGACATCGGGAAACTCAAACGTAAAAAATGAATTTGAATTGTACCTATCAACTCAAGGAAACAAAATAAAAATGTTCCAGCGTGGCCCCTGGCAAAGTTTTCAACATTTTGGCAAAGCGAAACGGTGGACTAATTGTGGTATAAGGCAAATAGAATAAGCGAAAGATTTCTTTTTGATTGAATAAAAATACGACTTTTCAGCTAATCTGGCGTTCGAGTAGAGACGGTTTCTACGTGTGCCGTCATAACTCCTGTGCTATTCTTATGTTTTGACGTCATAATTATGTATCATTGTCAAATTGAGATTTTAAACATTCACATATCAATATTTTCTTTTTGTTTATTGTCTTTTATAAAAACAATTTTAAATTTGAACTTAATATACACATATATGTGATAAGCTCGTTCTTATTCTAATCGTAATAAAAGTAAAAAAAAAGATTATTCTATTCTATTAAAAAATTATGTCAAAACAATACAAACATGTAAGATCGGTGTAGTCTGCAATTAAGAGTATAGACCTTTAGCAAAGACTGTGCATAAGATAAGTGACCAGAAGCGTCTTCGTGCTTCAGTAGGCACGTTAGAAGATTAGTTACAACTCCATCAGAAATTATTAATACTCATTAGTTCCAACCGGCCGGACGTACTGGGTTTTAGACCGTTCTGCCTATATTATTAACCTAAGAAGGTTGTGCCTATAAGCACTAGTCTATTAATACCCTTAATAAGACAAAAATAGGCACTTAGTATAGTATCAAACAGCTAAACAATTTGACGGTTTTGATGTTCTATAAACTTTCACGTTGCATTATATTAGATTGTATACGACGGGTATTAACGAGATAGATTTCGATAGTTAGGTTTTCTACCTACCTATATTTCCCGACGTTTCGACCAGGTTACACCGGCCGGTGGTCACGGCCTCGAATAGTACGAATAGATGATTAATAAACGTTTTATTTTTTAATAAACGTTTTACGTTTTTAAGAATGATCGATAAGTAAATAAATTTAACTTGTACCAACCGACACTCAAATACGCTGTTGGAATTTGTCCAACATTGACCATTATAAAATCTATAAAACGTGTCCAAGTTTGTTTTCGCGGCCCGAGCCACGATTCTGATGCCGCCAAACAATTCCACTGGACCATTCTGTTAACCAAATGAATATTCTACGTTATAGTCGCAATTATGATGCTATTGCCAAATTTGAAATTGGTCTTTACCATTTTAATTGTACTGTTCCCATTTCTACCTTCTATTTAGTTTTATTTGCTGGAAAGATGGAATTTCAATTGGATTGTTGTCGAGTATTAATGTCTCACTTAATAATTGTTTTATGCACTCAGAGGGTATTCTTTTAGTTCTATCGTACTTGTAATGTTTTGTACTTGTAAATTCTCGCAGATTTGGAAGGACCGCAGAAAAACCAGGAACACAAAGGTTCGACTTATGAGATACCTGGTTTTTCCAGTCTTCATATATGGAGCTGAGACATGCACGGAAAAATTATTCTGGTATGTGTAACGATATTCTGGTTACCATTACAATATTTATTGCTCTATATGTGACGACCACTCGTATTGTAAGCGTTACACAATGATTCTAGTTAAACATGAATTGTATTTGTCACATTGTTATTGTTAATTTTACTATTTAATTTGTCCTACCAACGAGAAGGTTTGTGTTGTTAATCAAAAGTTTTGTATATCACATATAAACGGTTAATTAAATTTACTGAATTTCATAGTTTTATTTACTACAAAAAAAATTACTAATACGATTTGTTGTGTGCCTCTGACAAATATTGTATTATAAATGGAACAGAATGATACGTTTACATTACAAAATGACTTGTAATGACAACAATCGAGTATAGTGTAGGTAACTTCTTATTTTGTAAAATAGTCCAGGAAAAGTAGTCGGCTTATTCCACCGGAACTGTCGGTAAAGACGTGATTGCTTAATAAAATGTGCTTTTATTTCACAAGATTCATTTAAGTTTACTGAGAAATAAAAGCTAAACTTTAAGCAATCACGTCGATACACGACAATTCCGGCAGAAAATGCCAATAAAAGAAAAACAAACAAGAATAATAATCAACACTTTTATTAAGTAAAATGACAAAATACACACAATTTTTAATGCAAATCGGAGACCGTGTCATTGCAAACGATGCACCGTAACCGATGGTTTTGTACGTGGAGCGAAAAATGTTTTCGAAATTTGACCATGAAGGACCATCTATTGATAGAATCAGAACTTGTAAATTAAAACCCAATGTTTTGTTCAGCAACGTACAGCTCAGAGGTGGCTCTACTCCTCAAATACAAAAAATATCTTTATGGGACCATATTCAACTTAAAATAACTGACAGTTTCTTTTAATACCTATTTAAGAATCTATAGACATATAATATGAAATTGCCATGTACAATGTCTCTATAATTAACAATCATAATGGGGATCTTACTGTTACATATTTGGCTTTACAATCACGACTTATTGATAATGTATTGGGAATATAACTATAAAGATTTTCATAATTAACAAAAAGAGTTGCCTCTTCTTTGTCTGTTACAACATAACAATACAATGTTTCATCAAAATATAAGGTTTCGAAAGAACTTACTTCAAAAATAACCATATTTTTATCAGTAATATAAATATTTTCTATTAATCCAAATATAGGTATGTAGTCATTTACTACATCTAAGCTCAACAACATATTAGATGTATATTTAGTGCCTTTTATTATGAGCCAATTGCACTTATGAATAAATTGAGCAACAATGTTTAATTTCTCTACAATTTCTTGTCTTTTATTTTCACATATACACTTTTTTACGCCAGTTTCTATTAATTTATATAAATCATCATTCAGAAATGTGTAGTTCAATAGTAATTGATGCTTAATAGCTAAAGTTTTGCATATGTTCCGTCGACTACTTGACACATTTGCACAAAGTTTTGAAATACGATGTTTAGCTTCATATCTCATCGACCATATAGAAACCAATGGGCCAAACTTTCGCAACATGTCATGATAGTGCAATAGAAAATGGAATTTAGGGGTGAGATTTTTTTTACTGAAATGTAAATAAATTGTATTGTGCTCTGATACTAAACTTTTAAGTAATTCGCATGAGTTTTTATGTAAAGCAGTTGAAGTAACAATATCGATTATTTTTCTTAAAGTTACATACAATTCGAAAAGATGGTCATTTTCTGGAATTAAATCATCCAAGAGTAGACCAAAATATCGTACAAAACACAACATTTCTGATGCTGACATTTTAATTGTGTTATTAAGAAGGTGATCGGCTAAGAGGCATGGGGGCTGATTTCTTCGATCAGGGCCATAGTCAAAAGAACTTATTCTGTCATTTAATGTTTGTATTGTAAATAACTTCAATTCAAAAATGTACGCACTCAGCATAAGACATAGATCGTATTTACATACTCCTTCTAATAAATCATGCATAACGTCTACCCCAACATTATCTAGCACAGAAAATCCTTCAACATCATGCCATATGCAAGGTTCTTTGATACCAGTTACTGATACGTTGTTAATATTAACATCCTCTAAATAATTCTCCATATTGCGATATAATCTGTAGTCATCCGTAACTGTATGTTTAAGATTGCTTTTATGTATTTTACAAACTCGACATGGAAAGTTACTGGAGAAAGATTCACTGAAACCTGTAATAGTGTGGATACCTAAATTATCACCAAGAAGAACGGCGACATCAAATAAAATTTTACCAGAATATCTAGGAACATTAATTTGAATACCATGATGCTTTAAATAATTTAATTCAGAAATAAGTGGTTTAAACGACATTTTATTGCCAAATGTTGACCGATCAGATGAATGGAAAAGTAAGGCCAAAAAAATATTACGCAATTTTGATGTATAATGCGGTGGAAGACTAAGAATCGATACATATGCTGCACCTAATTTATGTATGCCTGCATGACTTCCTAAAGGGTTTCCTACTTCGAAATCATCGAAATAAATTGCTAGCGGTAATACAATTTGACCTTGATGTGTACTGACTTTTTTTTGCCACTCAGAACCTTGTACGATATTTTGGATTATATCACTATCTGAAGAATTTAATAGAGCTATGTGATACTGAATGGTATCCTTGGCTACACCTTCTAACTCAAAAAATTTTTTTAAAACTAAACGAAGTGGTATTAACTGTCCAGATGCAGTGACTGGCACCAAATTGAAAGTATTATTGGCGGAATTACATTCTAATCTTTGTCCTATGAAATACTGCTCAGGAAAAATTAATGAACCTTTTGTTTTGTATGAGGCAAAACACTTTTTCTCAGTATCTAACTGTTTAAAAGAATCAGTGATAGAATTGCAATGTTGATTAAAAAGATCACAGCATTCTTTTGAAATTTGACCTTGAGATAAACATGAAGATATCATATTAGTAAAAGGTACTACGACAGAGTTATGAAACAAATTACTCGTATTTGTCATAACATTTTCTACAACATTTCTGGGAATCAAAGGGTTTGCATATAGTGAAGCCGAATATTTTATCAAAAGAATGGAGAAATCTGTTGGTGGCGAAGTCAAGGTTGAATTATTAGTTTCAAGATTTTGTGAAGTACTAGGGTTTTCACTTATATCACCAGAAGTCAATGTTGAACGATTATTAGCCATGTTTTCATTATTTAAATTAGTTTCAGTTTCTATCGTATAAGTCGTCAAATTAATATTACTGGGGTGACAGGTTGCTAAATGTTTTTTAAAAGAATTTTTTAAGAAATATTTTCTGTTACATCCTTGTTCAATGCACTCGTAATAGTCTTTGTGATTACGATGTATATATTTAATGTGATTACACAAATCTTTTGCAGTAGACAGGGTCCATTGACATATAAAACACTTTGGCATGTTGCTAGTTAGTAACTGAAGTTATTAAAATAATATTATTCTGATATACCTAGGTCAGTCAAAAATGCGTTTACAGATGAATATTGTTTATCCCATTCAGTCTTTATATTATAAAATCCTTTTTGTATCAAGTTCCAGACGTTCTCGCATTCAATAGGGTATGTACAATTGAGAGCTAGATATAATTTGAAACATACATCAACAGCTTGTAAAATTGAATGAACGGTGTAGAATATATTGTTTACCAGCACAAAGTATTTCTTAATGTCTGAAACTCTTGGACCGACTATGACAATAGTTGGCTGAAATGTTACCCCAATCTTGAAAAATTTTTCCTTTCTTTTGGTAATTGTCTCCAGAATATCCATTTCTCGAGGAACATGAGTAATGAAACCTTCCATTGACTCTTGTTTCGATGGACGCCAGCTAGATTTTTTTGATTTCACTAGGGGGGAGCTGAGCAATAATGGTAACATCATTAAAACCACGATGTTGCTCCCCTCTTCGCTTTTGTTGTCACTTGTTCCTGAAACAAAAAAATTGCATTATTGTGTTATAATCAATAGTCATACATAATTGAATTTTTACGTTACTTCAACTTGCAACCTTTTAATCAATCGCTTAAACGCTAACTCATCCACATTTTTATTCTGCCTATCCTGACATATAGTGCACAAACATGGTCTTTAACATGAATTTAAACTCAACGTTTGCCATGGCCATTTGCCATGCCGTGGGCCATGGAGCGCAACCTGGAACACGGCGAAGGTCGGCGAAGGAAGGACGAGCATGGTTGAGTACCAAAAACTGGAGTGAATTAGCATTACTTTTATAATAACAAATAATGTTGGAGTATAGTAATCTTTCAATGTAACTTACCTTTCAATGCTTCATATTCAGTAAGCAGTTTATTTATGGGACTTTCCACATTCTTATTTGCTTTTTTTTGTGCCAAATCGAGTATTTTGTTCCTATAAAGGATAAACGTTTCATACAGCCTTTGTGACTTGTCTGGATAAAGTGTTTCAAAATCAATTAGAAGTAGCTGATACCCTGTCGGCTTTTTTAAAACAGGGTACTCATTCATGTAGTCAGATACTGTAATATTTTTTGACTCTTCAAGTCTAATCTTAGATGTATTTTTCCATTTCTCTTCAGCTATTTTCCAAGGCTCGCTGGATTTTCTAAGCCACTCAAGGTCTTTATGAATATTTTCTGAAAATATAATATGATTCATCAACTTGGCACCAACAGATTAATGCCTAATGTCCCTGAAGTGGGAACTGGTAGCAAATATTTATACATATAATAAAATCGTAGGAAAGTCAAAACTGTACATTGAATATTTTGTAAAAAAAAATACTTGGGGTGTGATCTACAATCGATATCGAAGCCAAAGATACAGTTTTTATAAGTATTGTCTGTCTGTTTGTCTGTATGTATGTAAACTCAAAAAGTAATGCATGGATTTACTTCAAATTTTGCATGAAATAATACTAAGAGGTTGGGTCAACATATAGACTACAGAAGCCACGCGGACGTAGTCGCGGGCAAAAGCTAGTTAAAAATATTAAGCACAACTAAAAAGGGTCCTACCTGTATCTATCAAAGAAGTTTCACCTACTGCAATTTCAAGTTCCATATTATTACTACAAATTATCTTTTTTTTAGCAGCACGGTATTCCCTTTTTCTATTATTCAGACAGTCATATAATTTTCCTTTAGCACATCTTTTTATTTTTAGCTTCTTGTTATGAGTATAGGGAATAAAGTATGTGCTTATATTTTCCTTTTTAAAAATATCCTTTATTTGCCGTGCCATATATAAAATAGTTTCATGTGTTACTTTCGCTTCATTTGGTTCATTTCCAAGTAACTCTTTTATTATAATGTTACATAATTTATTCCGTGCATTGTTATCTAACACACCCTCGTTTTGGTATAATTTTAATAGCATTTTTCCCTCTGGCTTATCGTTAAGGATTTCTAGAAGAGTCTGAAAATGCAATATATATAAAAATATTATGATTTATAAATGTTAGGTAATTTTTGGGGTGGATGGGATCTATCTTCCTCCTAGCATCATAAGAAGTGGGTCTAATTAGGACACCAAAAAATCAATCAAAATTTTGTAAGTCCTTGTGCCTCATTGATGGAAAAGTGACCATAACTTTGGAGCTATGGCCCGCAGATCCCAAACAGCAGTGGTATGCTAAGGCCATCTGGTTCTGGACCACCGTTGGATTCGGGGCCAAACAGCTTTGCTTTATTGCATCGATGGCGCGGGGGTTGAGTGTAGTTCCGGATTTGTTCGTCCTCTTGTTCATTTTTTATTTCCGTGGACTAGATTGAGGTTAAGAGCAAACCCATTCTGAATAAAATTAATAAAAAACTTCAAGTGTGTATTTATTTTAACTTTACCTTTTTTGAATTTCGTGTATCATCAGGCTTTTTATATAATTGAATCGGTGTAGATGTGTTGTAGACTGGTGTATTGATATTTTCGAATTGTTGGATTTCAAAGTTGTCAATTTCTGTTAGAGGCTGACGATGTTTATTTGATAATAAGTCCACATAATCAGGGTCGTCAGTCAGATTCTGTAACAAATAGACAGGTATATACATACCGAAACGCATAACATACCCATAATCTTTTAGGAAATGTGCAAAGATGTTGTCAGGCCTCAAAAAAAAAAACAAAAAGTTGTTATACACACAATATCTAGTATTTAATTAATAAGTTTTACAAAAAAGAAATTGTGACAAGCTTTTATTATGATATGAGCTAGTTCATGCTATAAAATGAATGTGCTGGCAAAATTTCAGCTCTTTCACCCAAGAGTAAGTGCTTCTAATTGAGCTTGCAAGATTCCACCCAAACAAACATAGTTACATACTCGTACATACATTGAAAGTTAAATAAGTTTTTACAAAAATAAATTTGGTCTACCCTTTTGGTTACGAAGGTCAGACAGCTGTGTGTACCACCGTTGGATTCAGGGCTAAACAGCTTTGCTTTATTGCATCGATGGCGCGGGGGTTGAGTGTAGTTCCGGATTTGTTCGTCCTCTTGTTCATTTTTTATTTCCCTGGACTAGATTGAGGGTAAGAGCAAACCCATTCTGAATAAAATTAATAAAAAACTTCAAGTGTGTATTTATTTTAACTTTACCTTTTTTGAATTTCGTGTATCATCAGGTTTTTTATATAATTGAATCGGTGTAGATGTGTTGTAGACTGGTGTATTGATATTTTCGAATTGTTGGATTTCAAAGTTGTCAATTTCTGTTAGAGGCTGACGATGTTTATTTGATAATAAGTCCACATAATCAGGGTCGTCAGTCAGATTCTGTAACAAATAGACAGGTATATACATACCGAAACGCATAACATACCCATAATCTTTTAGGAAATGTGCAAAGATGTTGTCAGGCCTCAAAAAAAAAACAAAAAGTTGTTATACACACAATATCTAGTATTTAATTAATAAGTTTTACAAAAAAGAAATTGTGACAAGCTTTTATTATGATATGAGCTAGTTCATGCTATAAAATGAATGTGCTGGCAAAATTTCAGCTTTTTCACCCAAGAGTAAGTGCTTCTAATTGAGCTTGCAAGATTCCACCCAAACAAACATAGTTACATACTTGTACATACATTGAAAGTTAAATAAGTTTTTACAAAAATAAATTTGGTCTACCCTTTTGGTTACGAAGGTCAGACAGCTGTGTGTAAAAACCAGTAAGCACGTCAAATCAGCTGAAGAGCTCTGAAGCATTACTGCTGAGAATGCAACCGAGAATACACTCGGATGATGCTGATGATGATGACCTAATAAATAATATAATTAAAAATATGTAAATCAAATTCTTACTTGTGATTGATTGGATTGATTGTCGTTCTCAGAACCCATCAAGGTCTTCCAATTGTTAAAATTTGTAACAAATTTAATTCTATGTCCAATTGGTGGTATGAGCTCCTTAATCATATGCGAGTCCAACAGCGTTAAGCAATCCATCGTAATGTAGTTTTCTGAAATTAAATATACATAATAACAAAAAATATATAGATCAGTCAGCCCGGTACCTAATATCTAAATAACAGGTAAGGATTGGCTTTTCTATCCCAGTCTCACCTACATCTTACAACATAACATTTTGTATACCTATCTACAAAGTTATGTACTCATACGCAGGTCTGGGAGAAAAAGAAAAACAGCTGCCATAATTCCCAAGCAAGATGTAGGTATTAGACTAAGGGTAAGGGCATTTTAAATACTCTATTGAGGCGACGGGCTGATGTGCACTTGTCAATTGTCATGTCACTACTCTAATAATCACACTACTCAGTAACACAATAAAAACATCTAGCCTACTCGTCAGACGTGGCCGCTTGTATGAATTCCACCGTAGGGCTCTGCGTGCTCCGATATATAAGTGTCATTATAAGTACCTAAGTATGTAATCTAAAAAGTCAGGCGTAAATAAAATACTTTTTAAAATACTAATGAGTACATATTAAATAAATGAAACTTACCAGAGAACACATTCACATAATCGCTGAGACCCCAAGCAATAAGTAAGTTTCTGACGTCTTCGTCCATTTCAATTTAATACAAGATTAGGAAGCGTAATGGCGGCGATAGGCGGGCACTATTAGTATACGGCGCGCGCGACTAAAAGGAAAGAATAAGGTGATGCAATAAGTTCCCTGCCCCTCACCCCCCGCATCTCGATCGCCGCCGAGCCGCGCGAAGTTTTGCAAATGCAACATCACTGATTGTTCTCTATACTAAATATATTGTAATTATAAACGTATGTTCAGTGCTCATCATAACTCGTGTTGTAGATTTTTAAAATACAAAATTTTCTTGTAATGATAAATATACTTTCAGAGCTGATTACAATTCCAGAAATAACAGAAATGTAATTGTATTGCTTACAAAATGTAAACTTGTGTCAACAATATTTCTGTTTCCGTGTACAAAATTATAGTCATCTTTACAGTATTTCTCTTAACCTAGACGTTTTGTAGTATTGTAAACTAAAAAGTTTTTCCGTGTGGACGCTAAGGATAGAAGACCATCGCAAGATTGATGCTTTGGAAATGTGGTGTTAGAGACGTCTGCTCGACTCATTTGGACCGCGTGTACGATACGCGATATCGATCCTAAAAGAATTTAGAGGTTATCGTCACCTGCAATGAGATCTCCTTGGAACGACTGGTGGTACAGGGAAAAGTCGAGGGTAAGAGATCCCATGGGCGCACGCCAACAAGTTGGACAGATCTCATAAAGTCTGTAACGCACTCAGGCATTAACGAGTGTGCTCATATCGCAAAACGTCGTACCGTTAATATCGCAAGGGCAAGGGCATTTGTATTTACATGATAAATTTAAAAATTACTAAGACATTTGGACGAAATTTAATTCGGTAACAATTTAGTATCTATATTAAACTTTTAAACTTTCGCGTTGCATTATGTTAGATTGTTTTAAAGAGGTATTAACGCGATATATTGATAATTAGGCTTTTCACCTACCTATATATTTTCCGACGTATCGACCGGGTAACCCGATGTAAGTCGGTGTGAACCGGCTGTAGTCACAATCTAATTTGGAATCTACGGCAAACCTATTATACCTCCACTTGAACATTGTTTTCCATTGTTTTTATAAAAAAAATTGAGTCCTTTATACTAATAAAGTAAATTCATTTGTACCATAGTACATAATATATAATCAAAAAACTTTAATTTTTCTATGTTTCAAAAATAAAAACTTCAGTGGTCTGATGAAAATGTTATAAAATATTTATACCAAAAAAAAAACGGCTGTATTCATAAAACAATATAAAGGTTTCTTCAAGGCAGAACTTTAACTTCTATACAAAAAATTCTACATTCCAGTGACGTGCATTCAGAACCAAACTTCACCTCGCCAACCTTAAGGATGTCCTAATTTCCGCCCGCATCTTGGAGGAAATTCGCCTCCTGAAACGTGTCAGTGCTATAGCTATAAGCAGTAGGTCTTCTTGTTGATACAATAAAAAACTGTTAGGAAACTGAATTACAAATTTATTGTGAGATTAAAAATGTTGCATACAAGGACTGACTAGCATGTGATAAAAATGTTATAAGTGTCTTTGCTATTACATCAAAGACACTTATAACATTTTTATCAATAGTACATACACAATAGTTCATTTTTGTATTCTACTCAAGAAATCTTTTTTTGGATAGCCATTTTATTAATAATTTATTTCTGGAGACCTTTTTCTTGCTTGTAAAATAATTGATTAAAAATTTGGTTGTATAATATTTACTAAATTAAGTCTCTCCAATCAACGATAAAAATTCAAATCGATACATAACTTTAATGCATTGAATTCAGTTATACGATTTAGACATTTTGTGATACAGAAACTCTTAAATATGAATTAATATTTTTAGTGAACCTTCTACTTCCAGTGATTTACTGTGTATCGTGAACATGACTATGAATATGTTTTCGCCGAGTCATAATGCCATTAACTTGTCTTTGCGATGATCGGAACGAATAGAGATGGTTTCAACGATATTTTAATTTAAATGTGGAACGTCACGGTGATGATGTTTTAAGCGCCAATAGATGGTGTTGCTTTAATAATTAGTATGTACTTATTTTTTGTGAATGAAATGTCTTTGTTGCGCTTATAATGTACAATCTAATTTATTTCATTAAATCTTCCATACGTTTCATTTATTTTATTAAATCTTCCCAACGAGCGCAATATTGTTAAAGCATAGAGCTTCAATCAAATAAAACCTACTATAAAAAAGGTAATAAAGGTTATATTTCATTGAAGCTCCATGCTAGTCAAATTCATGACTATTTTTTATTAAAAAGCATAGTTGATATTTTTCAGAATAGACAGAGAAAATTGAGAACTACACGGAATGATCATTCCACATTCGCTTCATATATAAATAAGATAATTATAAGTGTTCGTGCTGTACATATAAAATAAGAAATAAAGGGAATTAAAAATTATAGGATAATACAAATTAGTTCCAATTTGGAGTAATGGATAGCACTATATATAAAACTATAGTAGTTTTATTTCTCCTCAACAGACTTCTGATTTGTGTAATACAAATAAATCATATGCCTAAACTTCAGCTTTTTAATGAACTCTCACTCTAGACTACGATTTGTTCAACAAGAAATGTATAATTCATGTTTAACCCTATGGTTTAACATGAATTATAAGTCTATACTTCTAATACTCTGTAAAGCGAAATATACTCTTATAATACTCTGTACTAATTCTTCTAATTAAAAGTTTTTTTTTCAGCTACAGAGTTAATCTAAATCAAGAATTTACTCTCATGGCTGGTGCGTGCTTAGAATCAGAAACGGATTTTAAAGCAAACTCCGAGTGAACCTGAGAAAATCTATGCAAACTACAAAGCAAGCTTGGGAAGTTTATTAGTAGAGAAAAGTAATAGGGAATAGTATACTTAAAATGGAATTCTGAAATTGCTTTCTAATTTATTTTTATAGGAATTTTTATACACTTAGTAATAAGCCAAGCCAATCCGTAAACCAATCGCTAATTTTATGGACTTATTGACAATTTGGAAATTTTCACCCATTGGAAATAATTTAAGGAGGAATTTCAATGTTCTACATTCAGTTATTTTTGAGTTTTTCTGTTTCAAAATAAAATAAGAAAGAACCAAAAATATTGTTCTAATTATATTATCTGATAAACAATAGCAATATAAAGTATAAAAAATAGAAATAGTCTCAAACGCTTGTCTCAAATCTGTTATGTTGAAAGTGGTGATGGTTTTATCATATTTTTTAAATAATTATTCAGTATAACAAACATATTTTAGTAAGATAAAATACCTAGAAATACCTTTTATTTGATAAATCCTATATATATCCGTCCAAAATACGTAAAAGTCTCGTGATAAATAATAACGTTTTATTATTTTAAGAAAATTTACATTTTGTTTTTAAATTATATACTTTTTAAAAATTAAACCCTAAGTGATGTAACTCGAAGATAGGGATTTTAGCAGAATAGTAAAAATAACTTTGGTGCCATTTAGAATAATTTATATTGACAATACGACAAAGTGACAATACGAAAAAACAAAAACTATATCAAAGACAAAGAAACCATTCTTAAGAGTTTCAACATCCTCCGCACGCAAGCAAATGTGAGGACAAATTCTGCTACAGAACTCTTCAAAGTTAAATATTAAAGAAATAAATACTTAATATTGTTGTACAAAAAAATATGCTAACATTAATAAACAAAAACATTAATACACTATGAAAATAAAACCAAAAACCTGCCCTTCTTATAAGAGTTAATACACTAAGGAAATCTAATATAGACTCCTATTATAGATTTCGAGAGTCAATGACACATATTTTTTATCTCAAGTTCTTCAAAGGCACGTTAAGCCGTTAGTCCCGGCTGCATATGGCCGCGTGGTTATGGACTGTTCACCCATAAACGATCGATTCAGTTTTCGGAGAAGGCACAAACCTTCCTAATGAGTGGAATTGAATAGATGATGGGGCACAACCCTTAATACGTGACATTGATAGACTGAAGATGAAGATTCCCATTACAAACATCAATTCACTTTTCACTTGCTTTAGCTATAATAAAATTCGTCAGTATTAAATATAGTATAAAAAGATGGAATTTATTAAACCCATGACGTTCTTCATGTTTCGCTTAGTAGACCACTGCTCTAACCAATAGTACTATCCAAGACCTTAGCAATATTATCAAAGCCAGCAACATTGTGTGTGCAAATTTTATAAAATACAATATAATTACGAAAGCGCCAGTTTGACGGTCAACATTGGAATTATTAAGTTAAACAGTTACTATTTAACATAATCTAAATCAAAAAGTTCTTGCGCTCAAATCATCTATAAAAATATAATTAAATAAGCCGAGAAACTTAGGAGCAGAACTGGGGTAAAGTTCCGCGCCGCGATTTGGCTGTAAGCCATTCGTAGTTACGCACAATAAACTTGAGATGTAGGTCACAGCAGTTGGATATGCCGCCTTTTTGAAGGTCACTCGTAGGGTTGACTGTGGTGTAACTGCATATTAGGCATTTTAAACGGCTTTAAAAAGATGATGGTGATACTACTAGTTTGTAACTGTGCGTCGTACCACATCGTTTATTTTGTCTTAGATTCCTGCATCCAAAATTTTTGTCTCTGATCTTTAAGATCTTTTTAACGGACTTAAAAATCGAACGGGAGGAGATTTTATATGTTCGACGGCGATTTATAATTTTTTATACATATTCGCCGACATTTTCGTCAATTATTGACTTATTTCATCAAATCGAATAAGTAGTTTTATAACCTTTTATAACAAAACAAAATAAAGAATTGTATTTAAAGGATTCAAAGGCAAAGTTATAATTCAAGAAATTCAGGACTTGACATGAACCAAATTGAACAACATAAAAAGGCACTATATCGTATTAACATTCCGTCACAGAATATTATTATCATATGTCTGTTCCTCTACTGCCACATTATGAACAGAGACATTATGATTACTTTTTGAAAAATCA